GGGCCCGCTCGCTTTGACAGCTCCCTCGCGCACAGCTGCCGCCGAGTCCAGTGGGTTCGGCAACCTGTGGCCCCTTTCTCCTCGCGTCCCCGTCCCCCCGCGGCCCTGGCCCCGGCCATGAAGCGCATCTTCTCCTGCTCCAGCTCACAGGTGGCGGTAGGTGCCGAACTCTCTGGGAGGACGGGCAGGGGCGGGCGTGCGAGCCCTGCGGTGACAGAGCCCTGGGTCCCGGCTCCACGCCCCGTCACCTTTTCTCTTTCGGCCCCTTCCAGCTTTTCTGCTCCCGCAGTGCAGCCCGCCAGCCCCGCCTCCAAGACCCCGTCCTGAGCCTCTGGCTCACCCTCCTGACCTCTGCCCTCCCGGGGGTCGTTCCACTCCGCCCTCTCCTAGCCTTCTAGCACCCTCTGCCCCCGACCTTTGGTGTTTCCTGCAGCCCCGAGCCCGGCACTACTGCGGCCTCCTAGGACCGAGGCACCGCCACGCGCCTACCCCATCCCCTCACCCTGCTCAGCACCCAGCTCCATTCCAGCTGCGGAGTGCGTGCCCCATCGCCCCTTCCCAGGGCTCCCTTGTCCTCAGCACTCTGCCCTCTCAGGTGACCTCTCTTTGCTGGCTCCTGTCAGTCCCAACGCGCCCTCCCAGCCCCGAACGACCCCCAGCCCCTCTTCACGGTCTCCCTGCCCTTGCCCCGGGGCGCCCCATGCGGCTCCCCCTCGCATTCTCGCGCCATCAGCCATCACCGCTGGCCCTTCACTGTCACTCCAAGCCTCTTTGCACCGGCTGCTCCCAGGTCAGCCTCCTCCTGCTCTGCGCGGGCTCCCACCTCCTCTGCCCTGACTGTCCAGCCTTACTTCCCCCCTTTGCCTGGACCTCCTCCTGGCTGGGGGTTAATCTTGCAGTCTGGTCAGCCTGGAGGCGCTGCCAGCGGAGGCACAGTTGTCTGGCCGCTCCCCAAAGATCTGGGTGAGTCCTGCAGAATCTACCCTGGCCAGTTCTCCGCAGTGCCTGCTCATCAGACTGGTTCTTGGGTCAGACAAGGTCTTCTACCTTATTCTCCAGAATCTTCCTTCATTGTAAATCCTCACCCACTTGTTTAGGGCTTGTGCTGCCAGCTTCCTTTGAATTAGAGAAAAACAACTGTGAGAGAAGAGGCCAGATTGGACTCACTCTGGGTCCCCAGTAGAAGGAAGCTACTGTACCCCCCAGCTTGTCTCAAAACAAACCACAAGGGGGGTTATAGGAATGGTGTCTCAGAGAGGGGATAGCTCTCGCAGCCCAGAGATCTCTGACCGAGAGATGCCCAGTCTGGGGGTGGAATTGTGTGTGTGTGTGTGACTTGGGATTACGGCTCATTTACAAGTGAAGTAACGACCTGGAGTAGTATCACTCAGTCGAACCTGACTTACGGTGTCATTTATAAGTAACCGTGAGAAATACTCAGCTCACCCTTCAAGGGCAGGTCACAGAGGTTTGGGAGGCAGCTGTGAGGCAAGAGCAGGAGCTCTGTTGAGACCTGTCCTTGTCCTACATACATTTGCTCCTCCACTGAGTTTCTGCACATTGACCAATCAAAAGGCATTTATTGAATGAATACCACAGGTCTAGAACTGAGGCTCCCCAAATGCGGTCTTAATTCACACAGACTCTTCCCTCAGTTACTCCACACTGGCCTTCCCTTACTGGTTTATGGAGCCTCCCTGCTTCTTAGGAGTGGGAAAACTACCTCCCTCTTGCTGGCTCCCTAACTCCTGGCCAAGGCCTCTTTTCTCAGATGCTGGATGAGCATTGGGCGGGTGCTGGAATTTGAAAGCACTGTCTGTCCATGTTTACCCCACCTCTGGAGACGCTTGGCCATGAAGACTCCCCACTTGTTCTAAACTATCCATAGCATAACAAGACTATAGGAAGCAGTACTTTTGGCAGACTTAAAGCTATCCACCTGGAAAGAAAACTCTTTCCTCAGTCCGGTTGCGTTCCCAAAAAGTCTGTAAACAGGCCAGTTGTAAATTGTTTCCTCATCAATCTTCCCCATACTTCTCATGGTAAATTCCTCCACTCCTGGGCAGCTAACTCCTCTGGACCCACCCGTCCACTCTTCCTGTCCACTCTTCAAGCCTGGCTTCCTGGTCACGCCAAGAGATAGCCCCTTCCCATCCCACCCCTACCTTGGCTTCAGGCTAGAGTCCTGCACCCTCAGATTGAGACAAAGACTAAAAGATCTGTGATTATTTTAAAATGACTCCAAGTTATCCAGAACACAGTCATATCAACACGAATAAATAAAAACCAGCTCTAATAATCTCATGCTGTTTTCGTCAGGCGTCAGGTAGAGGCTGTCTTGGAGAGTGTCTTTCATACCCGCTCACTCTGCCTATATAGGAAGTAGACCAGAAAATAGCTATAAACTGTTGGCACTGGCTCAGTTAGAGGAATGTCAATTACATTTTAAAAATTGAGAGGCAGCTCCTGTCCCTTGAGGGCAGTCTTTCCATCGCACTTACCTGCCCAGAGCAGCATTGCTTGTTCTCTCTACTCTGCCCGCATGTTCCGCCTTGAGAAGCACTTAGAGATGTACAGCCAGAGATAAGGAGAGGATGCAATTACTTCTGCGAGATCCCCTAATCGTGGTACAGAAGTACCGGGCTTAGTCTTGTCCTGAGTCTGCTGAGTCACCTGGTCATCACTCCCTGGCAGCTATGCTACTTCACTGCCTCTTATCCTGGGTGCTGGGTGCACCTTGGAACCTGCTCCTTCTTCACCCCAACTCTGCACAAGTTTGGCCATAAAGAATTTCCATCCCTTTAAAACTCTTCTTAGTATCACACTGTAATACTGTAAATGGGGTTGGATGCAGAACTACGGAGCCAGAAAGACAGTTCTTTACATTACTACGAAGAACCTTTTCATCGTTACAACCTGGCTGTTACGTAGCAATGGCTGACAGGAGCAAAATCCCTTCCTCTCACTGTCCTGGATGAAGCAGTCAGAGCCAGGAATATTCAAAATATGTCCAACAAGGTTAGGAAGACTGGGAATTAATATTTATTGTACTTCTGTTGTGTGGCAGACACAAGGTGAGGTGCTTTTAGAGGGTTCTAGCTCTAGGAACATCCAAGAAATTGTCTCTAAGATAGTGTTAGAAGTGGGGTTTAAACACAGAATTTGGAGGGTGAGGGCCGCAGGTGGCAGTGCCCTGTGGGAGAGGATTAGCCCAGATGTCTACCTCTCGGGGGCAACCCAGCCCCCAAGGGGCATGGGCTGGTGTGTCCTTGATCTTAGAGTCTGTGGCTACTTGGGGCAGCCAGGTTGCTCTCTGAGACGCCACCTGTTGGGAGACTTCTCCATGCGAGGCGTGGCATCCCTGCCTTGGAGACAGACCTCTGCTCTTTATCTGAAAATAGTTCTGTCACGGTGTTCACCTCGTGGTGAGAACTAGGGCTGGGCACTAGGTAACCTGCTCTCATCTCCATTTTACCTCTATTTTGTGTTGTGGCCCTGAACAGTTACCTCACCTCAGGGGGCCTCAGTCTCGTCTTCTGTCACATAGACACAATGATATCAGCCCTAACTACTTTTCAAGGCGGCTGAGAAGCTGACAGAACATGACCCTTGCAAGGCTCTGAAGAGTCCGACTGCTGTCCAGGGGGAGGTTACCTCAGAATCCCTCTACCCTCAATAAGTTTATGGTTTGGGTGTTTAAAACCTTTCCTGTTTTTGAGGAATAATTTGCCCTGGCTGTGTAAACAGCGTGTGAGTTATTTGGCTTCCACAGACCCTATTTTCCCCCGCTTGGTCCCAGCTTATCGTCGAGATTACACCTCATAAAAAGCAGTGTGCTACCACCAGTTCCCCCACTTCCTGTTTTGTTAGAAGGATGCCACACACTATGTGACTCTTTACAGCTTACAGAGGGATTTTATACACATTACCTCATTTAATACTTACAACATGATGAGGTAGTTATTATTTGCTCCATGTTATAGATGAGCAAACAGGTTCGAGGTGTCGGATGGCTGCCTCGGGTCACAGTGGCGAGAAAGTGCCTGAGCCAGGCCCCAAACTCGGGCCGCCGACCAAACATCCATTTCAGGCCCTTCCATCATACCACGATTTTTGTCTCTTTCTTCCTTTCTTTCCCGACTCTGGACCCAGCCAGGCTGCTCTGTGCCCTCAACCCTGGCTGTTTTACACAGCTCTCTCTTTCACGCCCTGTGATACTTCAATTATTATAATTGCCCCACCACCCGCAAAACCCGAGTAGAAATGATGGAACAATGCCTGCCCAGGTGTGGCTGTGTCGGGACAGCTGCTCCTGCCAGGAAAACCGGGCGGGAGGGGGGGTGAGGCGAGGGAGGTGCCTGGCAGGGGACGCCTTTGCCTTCGGTGGTGGCTGCTGTGAGGGGAAGTGGCTTCAGGGCCTGGATATCCTAGGGAAAATGGTGCTTCTCCTCCCAGCTCTGGGGACCAAAGCCTACGGGCAGAGATGGTGTTTCCCTAGGCGTCTGGTCTCCGAGCTGTGACTTGCATCCGAGGTGCCCGGATTTGTCAAAACTCTGAGCAAGAGAGCCGGCCGGCACGGGGAGGTGAGAGGCGGGCGACGGGAGCCGACCCAGGCTCGGCCAGTGGTTCTGCAGCCCCAGCAAGACTGGAGAGCAGAGGTGGGAAGGACGAAGGCTGGGCTTGCGCTGAAGCTGGGCACTTCACGGCAATAATCACAGTGACGATAAAACAGCGGTTTGAAATAGGACACATTCAGCACTTGGGATCCAGCCTTTTGGCCCGGAGCGGGCAGTAACTGGCACCAGTTCTTGGTGGCATCCGGGTTAAAGGCCACGGATCCGGCCCACCTAAGCAGGACTACATGACCCAGGCTGAGAGACCTGGCGGCCCCGCCGCGTCCTGCCTTCTCCCTCTCCCCACCTCTCTATTCATGCGTGTGGCTCTCGGCAGGTGGAGAGATGGAACCGCCGTGATCAGAAGCTGCTGGAGGCAGTGCAGCGGGGGGACGTGGGGCGCGTGGCTGTTCTGGCCTCCCGGAAGTCCGCCCGACCCACCAAGCTCAACTCCAACGGCCAGTCCCCGTAAGTAAGTCCTGGTCCGACCCCTGGCACGCGGTTCCCTCTGGAAGCCCCAAGCCCGGGTCTGAGGTAGGGCGCCGGGGCCTGCAACTTCGGAGCCCTCTTTGCCTTCATGACCGGCGTGTCGACGCGGTTTTGCTAAGCCCAGCGCTGCGTGCCTTGAAGGAGAAAGGCCCAGCTCGTAGCCCAGGCCGACAGCATCGCCAGCCATCGGCCCTACCCCGCGAAGCAAGTGTACGGCAGACACACGTGCACTAAGTAGAGTATTTCTTCATCGCGAGAGTAGGAGCAGGCACGCTGGGGACGTTGGGCGTGAAGCGGTAGCCTCCAGAGTCACGGGGCAGGGTGGCTGGGGTCGGGAGAGCGTCTCCTGCCTCTGCGAAGCCCAAGTCGAGTTCAAGCGGCCAGCCTCCCCCTCCCGCCCTGGGGCCTGTGTTCCCCGGACACCCTGCAGCGTCCACGGCTGCTGAGACCTGTCGCTCCTACTTCTGCTTTGCTTCCAGCTTCCTCTGACTTCCCGGGAGGAGGCCGGTTGGCCTTCCCCACGGTCAGGCTAGGGGTCTGCCCGCTCTGCTTTTGGGACTGGCTTTGGGACGGAGGCGCGTAGCAGGGTGCCCGTGAAGACCCTCTCACTGCTCCAGCCTGGTCCTTCATCCTTCTGCCTCCGGGCCTCGATTCTGGCAGGTTTCACCTGGCGGCCTCCAAGGGCCTGACCGAATGCCTGACCGTTCTGCTTGCAAATGGTGCCGACATCAACAGCAAGAATGAAGATGGTGAGTTCAGCTGAGCACGGCCACACTCCGTTTCTCCCTCTACAGTAGTGTGGGGCCAGTGCTGGGGCCTTTCCAGCCGTCTCCCCCGCCGCCCCCCTGCTTCTTTCCTCATAAGCTCTGGCCTGCATCCTTCCAGGGGTCCCTGCCCTGCAGGCTGGCTTACCTCACCCCGCTCCGCTCCCACCTCCACCACAGGTGCCGGCCTCTGGGGGAACAGGAATTTCTGGCCCTGTGTGACTGAGCGCTTCTCTCTCTAATCTCCCTCTGATTATCTGTGCGTCTCTTGCCTCCCTCCCTGTGAGTCACCAGCATGCGTGGGCCACCTCCCTTCCTCCCTCTTTCTCTTTCCAGGAAGCACCGCCCTGCACTTAGCCACCATCTCCTGCCAGCCACAGTGTGTCAAGGTCTTGCTGCAGGTAAGAACAACCCCTGGATGCTGATCCTGGGAGGGAAGAGGCGGATCCAGAGTGGCCAAGTACATTCAATCTCTTATCTCCAGTAAGAGAGCGGGTAATCATCTGTCATCAGTTCACAAGCCTCTTCTAACACCTACTGTGTGCAAGCACCATGCTTAGTCTGCGGACGAGTCACAAAGCAGTCACCGGGACTGACGCCAGTCTGCCAGCAGAGAGGCCCTGCAGAGAAGACTGCATGATAATGGGGGGCCTGTAAATTACACCCCGACTGGCTGGGCTTGAGGATCCTATAGTCTAGGAACAAAAAGCAAAATATACATACAAAATGAGGCGAGGACAATTTACGAAGGAGTCTCTGGAAGTATAAAAGGCACAGCTCACAAGGCTGGGCAAAGTGTCCAGCTTTGATCCTTCTGGCCCTTTCCAAGCTTCCTAATCAAGATCCAAAAACACCAGGGTGGCCTCGGATATCATTTTCTCCGCTGTGTTTACTTAGCTACCACCAACTTTTCTTAGGTGCTTTAGGAGCCAGGGCTGAAGCTCAAGGCCAGGTGTCCTTTCCAATACCGAGGCTGCCCCTCCCCGAAGCATTCTGGGACACGGCCACCCAGTGGGGGGGGGCGGGATGTTAACGCCCTGCTCCCTTCCCTTTGTGGCTGTTTGCAGCACGGTGCCAATGAGGATGCTGTGGATGTGGAAAACCGCAGCCCATTGCACTGGGCAGGTCTGTGGTGCGGGCTGGTGGGAGCTGGGCACCGGGGGGCGACGGGAGGGACAGCAGGAACTGCCGGAGGGCTGCGGTGTCTGACCGTCTCCCCTGCTTCCCTCCAACCCCCTCGCCCCTCGGCCCTCCCAGCCTCCTCGGGCTGCGCCTCGAGTGTGCTCCTGCTGTGTGACCACGAGGCCTTCCTGGACGTCCTGGACAACGTGAGTGCCCGGCGGGCGGTGCCCCAGGGAGGGGCTGCCCTCTGGCGGCGACTGGCCAAGCTCTGACCAGAGGTTACGCGCAGCTTGCCTTCCTTCTCCTCTCCCGCGCAGAGGGATCCAGCCTTATCTTACGCGGAGCCTCTAGCCCTCTGCAAAGTAGCATTTATTTATTTACTTCAAAAAATTTTCTATTTTACTTTTTGCATAAAAGAACTGGGGTGTATGTGCCTTCCCTATTGCTATAAGGGGCTGGAGTGCAGCCGTGTAATGCTGTCCACAGCCATTGAGGCACAGGATCGATCCCCGGCCAGGGAGATGACCGACCTGGCCGGCAGACCTCCCCTGACCCTCCTGCTGCCCCCCTCAGCAGTGAACTCAGTAGACCTGCCTGTTCTGCTTCCTGCTCTTTCCCTGGGGAATCCCCCTGCATTTCTGGCCTGTATCCCAGGTCTTGTGTGCATAAATAAATAAATATTAAAAAAAAATAGGAGAGCTGGGGTGTAGGCCAGAGGTGTGGGAGTAGTGATGAGGACTCATCAGAGTGGGGAGCAGAACAGACGGACTGACTGAAATCCACTGCCGAGGGGAGCAGCGGGGAGACAGGAGAGGGCTGTTGGGCCCTGGGCGTCACTCCCTGGCCGGGGATGGACTCAGGCGGTAGAGGTGAGTACTGAGGCTTGACCCCCAGGCCACCAAGGGAGGCACCTGGCAAAGAGCAGTTAGCCCTGGCACCGGGGCCCTTTTCTGGGGAGAAGCGAGCTGGTAAGATCAGGCCAGCTGCTGGCGCCCCCCCGACTGCTCACAAACCCCTCCACCACCTGGCAGGACGGACGGACACCCCTGATGATCGCGGCGCTGGGCGGTCACGCGGCCACCTGCTCGCAGCTGCTGCAGCGAGGCGCCCGGGTGAATGTCACAGACAAGGACGACAAGTGAGCTTCCCCGCTCCAGACCCTGCCCTCGCCGGGAGCCCCGGGCAGAGTGGGTGCGGGCGCTTGGCGTGTGGGCAGGAAGGCTCGTGGTCTCCATCCGCTTCCGTCCTTTCCCCGCGGGGGGCTGAGCGGGTTTTCCTGGTCAGCTGCCGCGGCCACCGCCTTCCTTGCCTGGCTGACTCTGGAAGTAGAATCATTATCTCTGGCCCCAGGAGTTTAATTTCCTGCTTTTCAAATGGGGTCCTTTTTGCCCCCCACAATAAAGAATTTATGCCGGACCTCAGTATATGAAGCACCTTCCAGTGAGCCCCCGGCTTCGGGGCCGCTCCGAGGACATCTGTAAAGTTCTGCTCTGTGCAGGTGCTTTGTGGTTCTGGCCTGCGGCGGCCTGGCCACGCTGGCCGCTGGCCTGGGAGCGGGCCTCTGGCCAGGACTCCGGTGCCCGGGAGAGCCTATGCCAGCCTCCTTCCCCCCCGCAGGTCGGCGCTGATCCTGGCCTGTGAGAAGGGCAGTGCGGAGGTGGCAGAGCTGCTCCTGAGCCACGGGGCCGACGCGGGGGCGGTGGACAGCGCCGGCAACGATGCCCTGCACTACGCCCTGCGCACGCAGGACCGGGCCCTGTGGCGGCTGCTGCGGCAGGCCCTGAGCCGGCGGCGGGGAGGTGAAGCCACTTGTCACTTCAGGATCCTTCGAGCCAAGGGAGATTTTACTGTCCCACTGTTCCCACCGAAATAACCCATCTGACGGTGGTCACTGCAGTGGGACGTACATTTTTTAGTTTTATTTTTATTGATGCATTCAAGACCTGGAGTGCGGTGGGTGAGAGGATTCACCCGAGAGAGCGCGGGGAGCAGAACAGGCGGGTCCATGGAAATCCGCTGCCCAGGGGAGCAGGGGCAGACAGGGGAGGTCTGCTGCGGCAGGTGGCTCAGTGGCTGGCAATAGCTTGATGGCGCTGAGGCTTTAAGTCCTGCTGATGCCACAAGGACAGAGCAGGCAGATTGACAAAGTACACTGCCGAAGGGGGCAGTCGGGGAGGTCTGGCGCGCCCCGTGGGTCCCCTCCCAGGGGGCTAGAACTCGCTCTGAGGTGGCAGCTAGCTCTGCAGTGCTGCGCTTTAACCCACGGAGCCAGCAGGGAGGGCCCTCTCTCAGCTAACTTAGGAAGACCCCGCTCAAAGCCCAGCTGCCTGTCTTCATCCTCACTTTCCCCGTGTCTTCTCATCTAGGTCAGGGGCTAGTCCAGCACCCAGATGCTGCATCCAAGGTGAGGCCCCGAAAGCGCCCCTTCTGCTCCCACTGCCCTGTCCACCTGACTGGGCTGTCTCCCAGGTTGTGACCCAGGGGCACTGAGACATTCCGGGAGAGGAAAGGCCTGGCGGGGGCTAGGTTAGCCGCCCGTCTTGTTCACGCCCTGTCTTCTACACAGGCCGCTCCATCAGAGGCTCAGGTGGGTTCTCCACCCAAGAGCCCATGGCGCTCAGAGCCTGGCGAGGAGCAGGAGCAAGAGGAGGAGGAAGCTGCACGTGTAGATGAGTGGCGGTGGAAGTTTGAGGAAGAGCAGAGGAAAGTGTCTCAGTTGGAGCGGGAGCTGGAGCAAAAGACAGAAGAGTGCAAGGCCCAGGCGGCGGCCTACTCGGACCTGGAGAACCAGATTCGCGAGCACGTGCAAGAGCTGGGGGTCCTCTTATTCCAGGAGCCCGGCGCTCCAGAGGGGCAGGGCTTGCGCCTCCGGTCTGGAGGAGATGGCATGGAGCAGGGGTGTCCCCTGGTCCTGCTGGCTGGGCGCATACAAGAGCTGAGGAAGCAGCAGCAGGCAGCAGCTGCAGCACTGGCCACACCAAAGCCGAGGGCAGAGCCCCAAAAGACTGAGCACTCAGCCGAAGGAGAGGTCCAGAGTGAAACCAATGGAGAGTCCCATCCCGAAGAACATGGCCTCCCCCAGAGCCCAAGGTCTGAGGCCATTGGGAAAGCCACCAACGGGGGACAGATCCTTGGCCCTGATCATACTGACCAGCTGCCTGCAAATCAGGAAGGACCCCAGGCCGCGGGGGCTGGACCAGCAGGCACAGA